TCGCCAGACAGACAGAGAGAGACATAGAGACAGAAAGCGAGAAATCACCCCCCAGGGGGGATGGTCACGCCACAATCCCCTCTCCTCCATTCTCCTCTCGGGATCTTGGGCACGCATGCACACGCGCCCGGCGTGAGTTTTTTAAGCCACCGGGTTCGGGACACGAACCGCGGTCAACCACGTGGGAGTCCAGCGACATAGCCATTACGCTAACTGCTGGTTCCTCCCCTTTTTGTTTTTTTTGGAGAGATTTTTGCTATAGGGCGTGTGCGCTCGCCAGACAGACAGAGACAGAGAGACAGAAAGCGAGAAATCACCCCCCAGGGGGGATGGCCACGCCACAATCCCTTCTCTCCATTCTCCTCTCGGGATCTTGGGCATACACGCACACATGCCCGGCATGAGTTTAAGCCACCAGGTCCGGGACTTGAACCACGGTCGACCACGTGGGAGTCCAGCGACATAGTCATTACGCCAACTGCTGGTCCCCCAAAGCTCTACTTTTAAGGAGTCCAAGGAGGATGATAGACAAATAGACAATTTCACTAGGTCAGAGGACTCTTCAGTATTATCAGCTTGTCATTTTGAGAGTTTTGGGGGTTATTTTTTTCTCTATTATTTAAAAGATAAAACATTTAAAGTAAAGGTAACATTTTCTGGGGCTAGCAAGTGGTGTAGCGGTTAAAGCACTGGACTTCTACGTGGCTGACCACTGTTTCAGCCTCAGACCCAGTGGCTTGAAAATCACACTAGGCACATGTGTGTGCATCCCCAAAATCTCAAGAGCAGAAGGGCAAATGGATTGATGCATGGCCATCTCACTTTCCCTCTCTCTGAATCTCTCTCTCTCTCTTCTTTCCAATGAGCGCACAAACCCTATGACAACCTAAAAAAATAATAATAATAAAGGGCTGGCAGGTGGCATGGTGGTTAAGGCATTGGACTCCCACATGGCTGACTGGGGTTCGAGTCCAAAACCCAGCACCTTGCTTTCTCACTTTCTCTATTTCTCTCTGGTCAAATGAATATTATTTTAAAAATGAAATAATAGGGACCAGCAGATGGCATAGTAGATAAATAAGGTGTTGGACACTCCCACATGGCCAACCATGGTTCGAGTCCTGGACCTGGTGGCTTCCTTTCTCACTCTCTCTTTCTCTCTCTCTGTCTCTCTCTGGTCAAATTAAAATGAATGAATGAATGAATGAATAAAATAAAATAAATAATTAAAAAATGAATAATAAAAAATACAAATAAATCAATAAATAATTCTTTATAAAAATTATGTATTCTTAGCTAAAGTTGATGGAAAGGTAAAAGATTTATTTACTAATATCCTAAATAGACAACTTAATTTTCATAGCCAAATAGATAATGTACAGTATGAAATCAACTACATAATATAACTAAATAATGGCCATCTGACAGGAAAGGTGTATTTGCTATTTATATGTAAGCACTGTACCAGGTACGACAGAGGAAGTAAGTGACACAGTCCTGGATTTCAGAGTTAGCAATCTATTTTGGGAAATGACTTAGCCCACACATATAATGACAAATGGGAATAGTAAATGAAGATAGAGAGAACACTAATAGTAAGGGAAAATAAAAAGAAGGTAAAAATAAAAAGGCCATTTAGAGAACATTAATGATCACAGTTGACCACCACACCACCTGCTGGCCCCATGATCACAGTTGAAATGTTAATCAGGGAAGGCTTTCTAGAGAAGGCTTCTCCACCCCTGTGGACTTTTTCTCCATTCTGCTTGCAACAGTGCTGACAAAGTGAGCGGCCAAAAACACAAAACTAATAATTTCTTTCCCCTTCTTAAAACTTTTCAGCAGCTCCCTGAGAGAATGGGTTCAAACTCCACAGAGAGGCCTACAGAGCTCTCCCTTACCTAGTCTCTTCTTTCCTGTCTGACTTCACCTCCTGCTAGCTATCTTGTGCATGCTTTACCCTTTAGAAATAACACAGAATTGCTTGCTGGGCCCTGAAGGTGGTCAGTGGCTCCACGTCTCTGTTGCATTGAATAATCTGCTGCCATCCCCGCCTGCCTGGTGAACTCTTCCAATTCCTTTTTTTTTTTTTTTTTTTTTATAAGAATGATTTATTTAATTTTCTTCAGTATCATTATTATTATTTAATTTGATGAGAGAGACAGAAGGAGAGAGAGGGAAAGTGAGAAAGCAAGCCACCAGGTCTGGGGCTTGAACTGTAGGTGACCATGTGAGAGTCCAGCACCTTAACTACCACGTCACCTGCCAGCCCCTCCAATTCTTTTTTTTTTTTTTATTCTTTTTTTTTTTTTTTGTGAAACCAGGCCACTTTAATGTTTTTGTACAATTTAGTAAGTAATCTTTTGATGACGTCAGACATGTAAGACCAGCTATATTCAGAAACATCAGTCATGATGGTTTTCCAGATTGGCGTATCATCTTCAAAAATTACAAGGAGTTACTTGTATGCAACTGCTATCAAACCAGTAAGACAGTGTTTATGCATCCATCATTTACAGGATTGTTGGTAACTTGGGCATATGTCCCCCAAATAACCTTGCCTCCTTGTGTCAGAAGGTCCAACTCGCTCACGTTCACCTCAATGACAGTACCTTTGGTGATAACACCCAATGCTGTACATAGTGGGGATGAGGGATTCTTCTTTACACCAAGTATTGGTGGCTTTCAGTTCAGGATGTGTTACGTGGGCCTTCTTGAAATATAAGCCCATTGGCCTAATGAATCTTTCATATTTAGGTGGTTTTCTACTAAAGCCATCTCCAACAAAGCAGACTTTTGTAACCATCCTCTT